CGGTGTCGTTTGATCACCAGAAGAATCGTCCAAATACATGAAAAGTTTGTTCTGAGTTAAATTATGAAAGTTTGCCGTATATTTTTATGCAATTTCATTACTTTGTAACATTTCCATTTGTCTACGCGTTCCTTGATTATTTCATCGCGCAGTGTGGGAGACACTTTCTTGCATTGTGGTATTCCATGTTTTGTTATTTGAATTGTAGTACCGCTGAACCGTTGAGCAGCTTCTATAAAATCTTTTGACTTCTCTAAATACTCGTGACGGTAAACATGTTCAGGTTCACCGAAACAACCTGATTGTTGTTAACAATTCATTAGCTATTGTATCGGTTTTAAACCTGATAATATAGTGTTGACTTATATTGACTGTTGCTTACTGAGCCACTCGTAATCGGCTAATTGTCTGTTTTTTTCCATCAACATTTTGTTGATATCTGTTCGATTGAGAACAGGAGTGATACTTTTAGATTTTATTTCGAGTTTGTTGTTAAAGCTATGCGCTTGAAATTTGAACGGCTCTTTGTGATTTCCTGTTACTCCAATAGGCTCAACAACCGTATTGCTTGACACAATTTGTAAATTAATTACTTTAATTTTAACAATGATGGTACAGTATAAAATGTACCGTTTCAGCTCGGCGAATATATTTGCTTGTAATGTCTTATAGTGAAATAATACTGCGTTTTATACAGAACAGTTATAAGTGATGATTGTAAAGAATGTGTAAATTATAATTTGTTTTGTCGTTATTATGTTTTGTTTTTAGTAAACTGTTGTTAGTAAAGCCAATTATGGAGAAAATGTAGTTGTGTATTCTTTTAGATTTCAATAATAATAAAACAGTCAAATGTTTATTCCGTTTATCAGGACACTTAATACAATTAAACCTTCGACCAGATTCAAGTCAAAAATAATGTTTTTACACAAAATTAGAATATTTTACCATCCGGTAGGTTTTGTAACGGCGTTTACTAGAATGCTCTTAGGTGCTTGACACTGATCCGAAAAATACAGCACAATATCAACGGAAAGGGTGACGTACGCAGAGGCAGTGTATGTCAATGTGACCTCTACTGGAAGTTCTCTTGTAACTTCGCCTGGACATAATTTAACGCTGCATTACGATTTTTAAATACTTACCTTAATTCTTTAAATTATATTGAATACTACCACTAGTCGGTTCCACGGTAAATCCCCCTTTGTGGATAGGAATAAAAATTCGAAAATGGTATGGTTGAACTCGTGGAAACAAAGTTAACTTTTTCGAAACCCTAGACAACACAAACATTTGTATTGTTTATGTCTTTTGTATAAAAATTATTTAACAAGGAAATGTTTGCATTGCGTACGTCATTCCGATATTGATTTTTCCAAAATCTATGGTTTTAGGTAAATGACAATATAACTCGGGCATTGCACAAATTTCTATAGCCAAGTCACTATCGCCTGTAGGATTCTTCAATCGCAAGTAGTCCTTGTGTTCGGTAATACTGTATGACACGAACATTATAGTTATACAGCGTGAGCAATTTGATAGCATTGTTATCTAAAAAGTATAAAATAAATTTAACATTTCATACAATTTGACATAATATTTGATAGATTAATACCGTGTTAATTACATGACAAAATTATACGATTTCAATATTTTTAGCAGACTACATTACTTAAATCCTAGTATCAAACATTCAATTAAATAAAACTCAATTATTTAAAATTATTTTACAACAAATATTTGGAATTGAAATCAATGGGTGAAAGTTGCTCCTATTAAATTTGTTTTACATGACACTCCTTTCTACCCTCACCCTCCTAGAGGTGCTACGGTATCTCATTCCCCAAGTATTTTTTCTTGGTAGTCATAAGTGTATTAAGTTTGGTTTAAATTGCGCATAGCGATAGATATATAATAATATACTTTTTGTATTATAAAATAAAATAACTGGAGGTACGGTTTGAATAACGTACTCAGAACCAATCCATAAATTGCAAAGCATCAAAGAAAAACAAAACTTTTATCAATGAGTTTAATAGATTTCCACGTTTATTGCAAGATGGTTATGCGATAAAAAATGCTGGGAAGTGTTAGGTTTTTTGTAATAGAATCGAATCATAGCATTATATTGCACAAAAAAAACGAAAACCGCAAAAGTAGTCAATAGCACGTTCTTCAGATGGAACATTTAATTATTTTTTAAGGAAAGCTTGAATAATTATCGAAGGTCAATTGTATTAACTGTATCAAAATCTGATGAAAAGTTAAAAACTGTTCAACCGGAGTTGTTTCACATTGAAACGATGTTCTAAAGTTAATGTACAATGTACATGAAGTAAATTTGTTTATTTTCAGCTTGTTAGTATGGCGTGTTACATAATTCTTACACGCACAGATAAACATGCGAATTGTCTTTTTTTTTTTAAATAAAATATCGAGGTAGGGTTTGATTATAGGAGTCTTTGTTATAGAGTCCAATAAATAGATTGAAGATTGAAAGTAATATATTTTAAAATTAATAGCCTCGAATCTAATATTGAATAATATGTATAGTAATTTGTATTAGTCGCATAATGTATTCAACATATTATTGTACATAATATTTTAATAATAATAAAAAAAGAAAAGAAAAATATTCCATTCGAGTCTAGAAAAAAAGTTATTGTGTTTACAGACTCAAAACAAATCATTGTAAAACCTTGACGTTGAACAGTTTCGCATTGAAGCTAAAAACAACAATGAATTAACAAAACAAATGTTGACGGTTGTTTTGATAGTCAGTCAACCGCTAAGTTGTAATCCAAACTGGATTTAAATACGCTAGTGACGATTTTGTGTAAAGCTCGTATATTATTCTGATTTGTATATTATGGTAACTTCCAGTATGAGTTGTTATAATTAGAATATTCATATTTGTATTTCAACCCCTAGTGCATAATTTAGCATACTTTTACGTTATTCGGTTCAAAGTAGCAGGAAAATGCGGATACAATTAGAAAACGATTAAAATTCCCTATTTTCCTTAATTAGCTTACTTACAAGCGTAAGGCCTTGTATTTTAAATAGACCTTGTCCAATGTAAACACTCACTGTCGTCTCATCTGGAAGTTTAAACAGTTTATTTGTCATCGGTTGTATCTGAATAATTTGGGATCTCGAAGTCAGGTTGAATAGTTTAACTTTTATGTTGTATGTCTTTCCAATTTTGTAACTGATACTTATTCTGTCCGTATTGATCAGTATCGAGCCATTTGTACATCTTTTTGGGTATTCTGTACAAAACGCATTTAATCGTATAACGCTACCATCTAGATAAATGCAAATAAACTTAGATATGTTTAAATAAGTACCGTTATCACAGACGGCTTTCAATCCTATATTGCCAATCTTGTTGCATTTCATTTTTGTTTTTTTTTGTTATCAAATTGGTTTGTTATTACTTGTACTTTTATTATGTATTTATGGTTTCTATAGGAATATACGGCAAAAACTGTATGACTGAACATTGCCATTACTGGCTCAAAAACTTAAAAACAATATTTTGCAATGACTTGACACATTTTCATACATTTTATGTAAATCGGATTGGTCAGATTATAGTGATAAACAATTACAAAGTTGGATTTATTCCCAGAAAGCATTATGTAACGTTTATACAGAAAAAAAACGTCTAATTGTCATGAAATAAAATAAAAGAAGTGGTACTTATTTATTGTGTACATATTATTGTAATATAGATATAAGGTTATTGTAGGTCATGTGCACTCATTGGAATCTCTATGACAGTCAGCCAAAGGAGTGGAATCGTGTATATTTGAACACATCGCATTGGAATGTGCCTCGATTTTATTGTCAACTGGCGTGGAAGTCAACCGGGGAAAGGGTAGTTATAGAAATTCCAATGTTCCTTAAGCAAAATTAACAGGAAACTCATGTGAATCGCGCTCAACCAATTATACGCAATTCTAACGTTTATACGCTGTGAACTATGAAGTGAATAAGTTATCCGTCTTCATTTCGTACACATATGCTATGTATAATTTTAATAACAAACTTAAGAGAATACATTCTCAGCATTACAACCAGGAATCCCATTGAAAATCCATAAAGTTTTACGACCTTTCTAAAAACTGTAATTAAAAATAAACGTTGTTCGTCGAATCGCTTTGATTGTGTAAAATATCCGAACGATCCTCTAAAATAATCTTTTGTTATACGGGTTATATTAATGCTATCTTATCTTAACCGGAAATTTATACAACTAAGTCAAACAACTCTTAAATACTTACTCTTACTTAAATTTCTCCATAGCATAAAATAATAACCAAATATACCTAATTGCAAATCGTTATTTTCGAAGAACTATTACTATAACACTATTGTAGTAAATAATACAAAACATAAAACACGGGTAAGTAATACGGATAAAAGAGATTACCGAGTAGAATGATTTAGCAGTAGAAGTAGACAGGCGAAGAAGAGATTCAATCCGTTCCCGTTGGTAAGCGCAAGTTCTAGTTACACAAATATCATGTATATTTACGGTCGCTTTCATTGTAAATTAATTAAAAAATAATAATAACACAAATACATAATAACGGTTCGTACTTGGAAAATGTTTTATTAACAAACTGTCAGTACCTTCGCAAGGCGTGCTTACATATTTCTGTGTCTACTATTATATAGGATGAGAAACGTCAATATATATATATATAGAGAGAGAGATATACCGAATATATATTTATTCTTATATATATATATAATACGAGAACGTCGTGACGGTTATTATTAATATCTGAAAACCATGTTTTTTATATACATTTTTTTTTCTTTTTCGGATTTTGTGTCTAACTGTGTCTGTGTGAAGCAAGAGTGTGGCGGCGGCGGCGGTAGCGGCAAAGGCTAAAGCAAAGGATACGTTTGTCGGTAAAAGGCCATGCGCGACCTCGTCGTTGGACGGTACGCGATCAAACCTAACCTACGGGCAGTGCCGTGTTTACCGCCGTGGTTGTCGTTGGTCACCGCACGCGTATAGTTCTCAGCGATCGTCGACATTATTATCCGTTTGTCGTCTTCGAATTTCCGCACAAGTCTTTCCGCGGAAGTTTAAGTTCACCCGCTGTGTACGAGATTGTTTCGAACAACACATTTTGATGTAACCGCGATAATTGGATACGCACGTGCCGAGAGGTGGGTAAAGACAATTTCATAACAATATATAAATATAATACTACCTACCTACCTTGCATTCTTGTGCATTGCTAAAAATAAAATAGCAAAAAGTCATATTTTACAGTGTAGAATGTAGATAATATAAAAAAAAAAAAAACGATTTTAAAATTTCAAAATCTTACGATAAGGCGTTAAATATTTGTATTGTTCTTAAAAAAGTACGGGGGAGAGGGGAGAAAGTGGTAAAATAATTACAGATGCATGTAGCGAACAGTCAACGTTTACATAGACAAAATTACATAGTAAAAGTATAAATATTTATACTGAAGTTTTATTGTATTAAACATTCCTTTGATTTTTTTTCTTTTATACCTACGGCTACACTCTATTGCATTTTTACATTAAAAAAACATAATATTTCGCTTCGATACGGAGTCAAGAAGCAATTGGTTTTATAATGATGTCACTAGTCATCCGCTTTTCGTTTCATGGGCGCGTTTTTCCTAGAAAACTATCATTAAGCAAGTAAAACGCATTTTATGTACATCACAAGGTATGATAATATTAGACAGAAGGCAATGTGTATCTATATTCTGTATTATTTAGTATTACTGATTTGATTTTTTATTGGTGAAGGTCATTAATTATAAAGATATTATTGTCTTTGTAGTGTTTTTTACTGACGTCAAATATCTGTACAACGTACTAACTACAAAAGTGTTTTCTTGAAGGTAATTTTATCACTTTTAAAGGATACTATGCAGTCTGTTTTTTTGACGTTATAGACCAAAACGTCAGACGAACTTTCGACTACTTAGTTTGGTCCTGTAAAATTATACAAGCTCTTTAACAACTTAACTAGGTTATGTGGGAAATTGATTTCTGATTTCTTGTAAAAAAAATTGAGTTTTAACATTAAAATTATTGGAAATTTAATTTATTCAATTACAAGAAACTGAATTGACATTGGACCATCCAAAGTTGTCGACATTTTGTCTGGCTTTTCAGTCTAAAATAAAAAAAAAAATGGTTTTTACTCACAGAAAAAATTACTTAAATAAAAAATAATACCTTGTAGTTTAAAAAAATTAACCGGTAAATTAATTGGCATGGTTAAAATTTATTAAAACCACCCTTTTATTAAATATTGCCTTTAAACTCCTTAAAAACAGACTGCATGCACTAATAATTAATACGTTTTAAAACTGTACAATTACACAGTAAAATATAACATTTCACTCTAAGTAGTACAATTATTATTAGACACATGCTTATGTCAGCTTTTTCGAGTTAATTATGCTTATTATATTTTGTGTACACATTTTTTGAGGTGTAAAATACTAGTGTAAATTATTTATGTTCTTGTCTTAAACAATAAAACTAGTGTTTATGATTCCGCTTTAAGTTGAAAAATTTTAAGTTTTTAGTTATCCTTATTTTTTTTTTTATACTGAAATACTTTCCAAACACCTTAAAGTGAAGACAACTTTTTAGGATTCGTAATTGGTCACTTCTTTGAGTGTACAAAGGGGTTTTTTGAAGAGGGGGAAGGGAAACTTTATTAAAATTATTGTCCCCAAACATTATAGCAAAACGTGTAGTAAAGCTATTTTTTTTTAAATGTTCGTTTCAAATTCCCGTTAAGCTCAGTCATTTTAGAAAAAGTTTGACCCTTCAACCCTGCTAGTTGTCATTTCACCCTCATTATTGCGAGTGCAAACTCATTATGAGATTCGTTAAAAAAATGGGTTATTTATTACAAGTTACAATCCTTTTTTTTTCTCTGTGACATGTTAAAACTGAATTCACTACACATAAAAATCAAGTGCCATTAAACGTATAGTTAGTACATTATAATATGTCCATATTGTATTTTTTTGAAATACGTTTAAAATAAATAATATATAAGAGGCATATTTATAGTTTTTTTAAAACTTTAAATAGGAATGAAACAAATATTATGTTGAAGAATTCGGTATTTTTGTTTCGAGCCATTTAAGGTATGAATATTAATGTTAAATATCTACTAAATTTACTCGTTTTATATTTTATTTTTCGTGCAATTATAAATCATTTACTTGAAACGTAGATAAGGTTGTTTATTTATAAAATCTTAAAAAGACAACAAAAGTTAATAATGAGAATTAATGACTATATATACCTGGCTACGTGTTGTAAAAATATATTGTGAACTTATCAACGTTTGACATCAATCATTAACGCAATTCAAAGATTTTTCTAAAGCATAACATAATCATAAAAGTAATGCCCCTTCGTTATAAATTCATGTTCATATAGAACTCTTCAAGTAATGTACTTGGTAGATAAATCATAATCGCCCAGTAAGTTATTTGCCGTTAACTTTTAAAATTACTCACTTCCAGATTTTCAACTTTTTAGAAATAAGACAAAATCTCAACAGAAAGTAATTGATAAGTGTGTCACAAATTGCTTTATTAAACTGTATTATTTTATTATGTGTTTGTTCTAAAGTTTATGAATATAATAATAAAATAACATAAGCAACCAACAAATTAATACCGTTGCACAGAAATGTAGAAAATGTAATTTTGTATAGCTGAATGCGTTTATTATAATCATTATAATACATAATTCGCGTTTAAAAGTTATTTCAAAACTATTCGTATAATATTTTTAAGTTTAGTCGTAGTCAAAGTTGAAAAGTTTGTAAATTCAAACAAATAAAGTATTCGACATTGTTGTTACCTTTAATGTATATATTTCAAAGAATTTAAAAACATTTTTATAGAATAGTATGATAATATATTTTGTAGTTTAAATAAAAACATATTAAATATTACACAAATTATATAATCCGATAACTCGATATTATAGTATCCCTATCAATTAACTATACTGAACTGTCCACGTGGGTTAAAGAGAAAAGTTTCGTTCCCCAAGTAATAATAATAACCCTTTAACTTTTGACGCACCGTGAAAACATATCAGCCCACGGGAAAATCCCAAAGCCAATAGATTGCCGGGGTTTGATGAAACTTTGAGATACGATTAGCTATTAGGAGATCCCTCTGGAGATGGAAACTGCGGGCAATGCAGCCAAAACAAGGATCAGATGTGTCTTTCGAGACAGTGATGCAATACCGGTTCTGACGTGTATGTATTTATATACCTCGAGAAAGCAGCCTTAATATTGATTACTCTTGTCGTGTACTAATTAATTAAAAGGTTATCCGATCATGAAGAAAACGACTTCTTTCCGCTTACTGTGAGAACATTCTGAAAAGTCCCGAAGTTGTTTCAAGTTATAAAAAAAAATCCACGGAAGAGCTGTGATTCTCTTTACACAATTTGATACAATTGGTGATAAACTTTAAGCAAAGATGTTTAATCCGCTATGTGACAAAGCGACAACAAATAAAGATGTATTTACGGATAATTGAAAAAGTTTATAAGACTTTTTTCCTACAAAAACTACTACGGCTTAAAAAGTCATCTGACGAATAAGTTGTCTGTGATCTCTATGTTAATTATAAAATTTTGTCTACCGAACCCGTTAATCCGTGTCGTGTGTAGCGTCTTCACAGCCTTACAATTTTATTGAACCTATAAATTCTAAATATGATGTGAAAAAAATGTACTTTAACGATGTTTGAATATTCATAATTTCAATTCTCTTTCTCTCTGATATTAAGAACTATAAATCATTGATGGCTTTAAAAATGTTAGCTAAAATTCACTATTATGGCACTCGAGCCGTCGATATAATTTCTCCCATTTTTAGATATTGAAAACGAGATACAGCTGTGAAATATATATTGATCTTATTGATCACGTTATATTATAAACCGAAATTGTATATAACGCGACGAACGTATTAGACCATTTCAATGATACGTGTCTATCGCACCATAAATAATTTGATACTTTAATATTTACATATCAAAATTATCAGTTCAGTGATTTTATCCGTATCGTATATGTGCTGGTTGTGCGTTATTGAAATTTTTTTTTTATACATATAGTTACTTTACTTTGTTTTCTACGAAAAAAAAAAATCTAATCTCAAAAAATTATTAATATTTGCCCATAAATCATTTTTTCTGGATTAAAAAAAATTGTCGCAAGTAAAATAATAACGTAACAGCTCATTTTGTTTTTCTGTATAAATATTTGATGTTATAATAATTATTTAATAATAATAATAAGCATTGATTGTATGCATTTTTTCACTTGAAAGTTTGCTGCTCTTATTATTAAGTGTAAATTTAATATGCACTTATGTTATTACCAAACTAATATACGTGTAATTGTACAATTATTTGTTAGTTTAGTGTACAATTTGTATATCCGCAAAATGTAAATGTACAGTCTTAGATTAATAATAAAATAATTCTTATGGTAGATATTAAAATTACATTTCTCCGTTGTATGTTTTCCGGAAGTTAAAACGAAAGAGACGTTAACTGATCTCAATAATAGCTCCTTTGACTGTAATTGATTTGGATTTTTTGAAATTGTTACAAGAATTCATATTATTTGTATTGTGCAACGTTCATTGGCGAAGGGCGAACAAAGTTAAGATATTTGGCGCGATAGTAAAACCTAATTAGTTTCGGAAAACGTTAGACTCAGAAGAAAAATCATTACACTGTCGTTCGGAGCAGCTGTTTCATTTATTTTTCTTTTCTTCGTTTCATTTTGATTTTTCAATTAACCAAAAAGTCTATATAGGATAGACTTTTGTTATATTTTAACGCCTCTTCTATTTTTCGAACTGCGAATGAAGTAATATCCACAGTGCTAACACTTAGGTGCACTTTAAAAAGATTTACGCGCTTTTTACTGCAAACATGTTTGGCTAACATCCAAATAGTGATTGTATAAACATGATGACGATGTATTACTGGCGAAAGTAGATAATTTGCATTTGAGTAATGTAATGGCACCGATAAAATAAAACGGTTAGTACCAGTTCTCGAATAATCTGTACAAGCGTAAATAAAATGTCAACTAACAGTAAAATTATTCTATTCTTA